CCTCCTCCTCGTCCCACCGCCACCTCAAGGGCCCTCCCCGACCAGGTGACACAGTCCGCTGGCGTCACTGCGTCGCCCGTTAATTATAAAACCATCATGTCCCCACAATTTTTATTTAACTTTTCTATTTTTTTTTAATAGCAGCGCCCGCTCCCGACCCCCTCAGCTCACAGCCAAGTTGCCGAGCAACCAAGCGCCGCCCACTGACCTACTTCTAAAATTAAGCTAAATCCTTTCCACGCCGTTCTGCTGCCACCCTCAACAGCGGCTGTCTCCCCTTCTCCTTTCCCTCCTCACACAAAAACAAAACCAACAACAACAACAAAAAAAAAAGAAAAGGCAGCGAGGGGATTTATTTCACGTTTGTGTGTGTGGTTTTTGTTTTTGTTTTTTTCCCCTCTCTATCCCCCCCAGCCCGTCCGCGCAGTAACGGAAAACAAGATGGCGCGGGAGCGGGGCTTTTCTCCCCGCGTTCAAACCGGCGGGAGGCCGGCCCCCTCCCTTCCCAGCATGCCCCGCGCTTTTTCTAACGAATTTCGGTTCGAGTTCGCAGTTTGGGCGCCATTTTCGAGTGTGGAAGTCGCCGAGCCGTAACGGGAGCTGGAGCCGCCCGCTCTGCCCGCAGCCAGCAGACTCCCTGAGGGCCGGGCACCGCCGGTCCTTGAAGGTACCAGCTCCGCGGGCAGCGCCAGGTAGCTCCGGGTAGGGTTTCGGGTAGAGAAGCCGGCGGTTCACCTGAAGGCAGGTGGAGTTCGGGGAGTTTTCCTCGCTGAGAGCGGGGCGGCGACGGCGTCCTCGGGGCGCTTCTCGGGTGGGGAGTGCTGAGTAGGAGGGCGGGAGGAAGCGGGCTCTGCTCCTCGCCTTATTTTTCCTCTTTCCTTCTCTCCCTGAGGGAAGGAAAGGTGATGGCAGCTCCTCTCTCCGGGCTCGGGAGATGGAGCGGGGGCTGCCCCGGCGAGGGCTGTTCCTGAGGGGTCCGGCCTGCCCTGTGGCTGCTCTATCCTAGGGCTTGGAGTGTCCGTCCTGGCTGGTGTTGGTCTGAGGAGCGGGGATGAGAAAGAATCTTCTGCAGCCCAAGGGAAAAAGGCAGATTTTCCCGCTGTGTCCTTACGGACCTCTGGGGACCATGAATCAGACCCACCTCGGACAGGGAAGTCTAGAGATGCGTTTCGGTAGCATAAAGGCCCTTTCTTAATCTGTTTACAAAGCAGGGATCCCTTTATCACTAGTTCTGCCTGCTCCTTTTATGCTTAAAGTATGAGAAATCTTAAGAAAGTCCATAATGACTTGGAAAGACCGTGACAAGGGTGCAGTTGGACTCCTTAGATTAATGGATGGATTAAAAAAAACCCAAATTTTTTCACCGGCGTAGGCTGTTGCTATCAATTTCATTGGCTGTTAATAACGAAGCTTTTCTGTCCATCTCTCACTCTTTTTTTGCCATCCCCGTAACAAAAACGGCACTTGGCAGGAGACGGTCAAGAGATGCTTTTAACAAACACCTTTGAGCTGACTTGGCAGAGGGGCTGGGCACGAATTTGTTAGATTTGTTAGAGAGTATGTGGCAGCTGATTTATCGCCATTTAAAAGCTGAGGTCAAGTAGTTATGCTTGTTCATTCCGTTGAAATAGCGGGGGGAGGAAGGGTTGGTAAGGTAAATAGGTCTATATTGCACAATTCTGTTGGAATGGAGCAGTTCTGGAAAAAAAAAAAGTAAGTCTGGTACTTTGAGAGGCTGTAATTGTCTGCGACAGCCATTGCGGAACACTTCTTAACAGGGGCATAGACTCAAATTGCCTTAAAATGAGTTCTTTCTCTCCTTTCCCCCCCCTCCCCCATTGTCCCAAATGAAGGACTCTCATGAGAGTGTGGGTTGGGGGTAGGTCTGAAAACGTAAAATGACTGGCACCAATTGTGAGATGACTTTCTAACCACGTCAGTTTTTTATCTTGTGAGAAGTAAACTTTCTCATGTCTGTTTTTCTGCGAACGAACCTCGCCACTTGCTGCGATTTAAACTCTTTGGGGAGAGTTTCGTTCCTTCAGTCGTCTTTCTTCTCATCGGTTGCTTTCTATTTATACTTTTTGGGAGCTGAGCTTAAGTGCCAGCTGATGGACTTTCGTAATGTTCCGTTCTCGATCAGTTATCATCACAGCTCGATTTAAGGTATTTTGTTTTGCTTTCTCTGTTAAATGTTGAATGCTGGCAACAGTGATGGTGTGATATTTTTCGAAATGAGCATGTCGATTTATGCCGTTTAAGAGCCAAGCCTTTGCTATAATTAGGCAGGTCTTTTTGTTTCTCAGTATATAGAATATATAGTCTGTGTGGACTGTTGAAAATGAAATAAGTGTCAGGTCTGAAACATGTCCGTAAAGAGTGCTTCCAGAAGAGTATAGGCTTATGGCTACTTGGTTTGTTATTGCGAATGTGGCTTTAACTCTTTTGCCCCCAGCATCACGGTGGCTTTCTCAGTGTAGTAACTGCACTGAAGGTAGATTCATGCTGCTCTTACAGATGAGGGCCAGCCCCTTGTTTTGGGGGGTACTGCATTTTAAAATATAGTTACGAGGCTGATGTTGAGGTTTTGTTTCACATTTGGATTTTGGTCTTTAAAATACCTCTAGGCTTTAGTTTCTATATTAGTCAAACATCTGGGCAAACATGTAGGTATATTCCTTAGGGGATTGTAGTTCAATGCTTAGATCATGGGGTTTTCTTGTTTATGTTAGCAAAGGAGCTAGATCCCTTTGGTAGTTTGATTGCTGAGAATGGAAGTGGAACAGCCAGCAAAGATGCCAAGCAAGAGCACCAAAACCTCCACAGCAGCTCCTCGGCAAGGCAGAGAGCCCTTAGAGGAGTCCACCACTGACATAGAAGTGGAAAACGAAGGTGACAGACAGCGTCGTGAAGCACCTCCACAAGGTAGGTCAGATATAGGGGTTCTGGTGGTGTGTGAACTTGATGATAGTGCCCGTTTAGCAACAACGTTCTGCTGAATTTACCAGCTGTTCCAGATAGGATTTGCTCTTTTCTCTTCTAGAGAGGAACATGAAAAACCTTGACTCCTGGCATATTTAAACTGCTTTTAAAACGGTAAAAGAGGGCTTGCAAAGAGTTAAAGTGTTTGGACCAGTGATTTAGTACAAGTGCAAAAGCAATTTGTAGACTTTCTCCTAATAAAGTCTATTTCGTATTCCTCATATGTAACATTGTACTTAAGACTGTGGTACAACAGCAGGATTTTTCAAATTTATATGCAGCCAATGGTATGGGATTTCTTGGAATGGAATAAATGTCAAGTTTATTTACTGAACTCTTAAAATGATTTGACTTTCTTTTTCACGGAGCAGTGTATTTTCTTGACTTGGGTTTTTGCTGAAAATGTCTGGGGGGAAAAGAGCAATGTGTCTCTGTTTAGGTGGCCAGATATGCAATTATTAAAGCAAGGTATTTAACAAATAGATTAACGTGTTGAAATTGGTGGCAAAAAAAACACTGTCCATTTGGAGGAAAAGTTGCTGGTGACTGTTGAAAAGCTGCTTTGCTTACAACTAGCTGATATCCAGGGGGCCAGTTTGTTTTCGTAACAAACTTCCTGTCTTTGCAGAGTAGCCGTGCTGTCATTACAGCTTTCAGAGCATTGTGCAGTGATCCCCAAATCTTGGGGAGTGACTTGTGAGCACTCTTGAAATGTGGCTTTGCACTTATTAATTAGAAAGACACTGCCTGTTTCAGATTTGTAGGCTTATTGTGACAGTTGTAGCTATTGTAATTGCAGAGTGACTATTAAAGTGTGTTAGAATAAGAATTACATAATGAAAGAACAAACTAGTGCATCGATGGGACATCATAAATATCTCTTTTTAAAGCTTCAGGTCATGGAAAGAAGACCTGAAGCTTTTTTAAGTAATATATTTTGTATTTAATTCCACTTAGTTCATTTGAATCATTACAGGGGGAAGTATTGGTTTGGTTCATATAGAAATGTTTGCTTTTCCAGTTGAACACTTTAAAAGGTGTCTAGTCATTGAGAGCTTATATATTTTTTTTTCTTTCTGTTTATTTTGGATGATTTTTAGCAGTCTCAGATGAGGTGCTTGATAATCGAAGTTTAGAAGAGATTTTGGGTAGCATCCCTCCTCCCCCACCTCCAGCAATGACCAACGAAGCTGGTGCTCCTCGTCTCATGATAACTCATATTGTAAACCAGAACTTCAAATCCTATGCAGGGGAGCAAACTTTGGGACCTTTTCATAAGGTATTTTTCTTTCACCTTAAGCATTTTTAAAGTGAAGGTAAGACTTTGCAGGGTGTTAGTATTCCTTCCTATGTTTTCATGTAAGCTTACTTCAAAATAACTGAAAAATATTTAAGTTTTAGAATTACTTATATAGCGATACTTTGAATTTTCATTATTAAGTAGTGGAGAAAACAGTTAAGTGCACTTTTAGATACTGTAGAATTTTAACTTTTTAGTAAACCGTAAACCAGCACACTTTTCTCTTTATTTCGTTTACTGGAGAACTTTCAGGGGTGTGTTTGAAGAATGAGAATATTATTTAGTGCCCACAAGAGACTTACGTGGCTAATCCTGAAACTTTTCCTGTGAACATACTTGCTAATGCAGTATTGCTTTAAGTTAACAAGTTAAAATTTAGGAAGCTGAGCTGAGGTGTGGTTTTTTGTTTTTTTTTTTTATTAAATAAGTTGTACTGCTTCACCTTTGGCAGTAAAAACACAGCTATCAAAGAGTTTGCAGTTTCATGCAGGAAGAGTAATTGTATTTTAAACACCTCACAAATGAAATGAGTGATGTGCACTGCCCAGGATCTATTTCCGTCTGAATATAACTTTTCTCCTTCTATTATGCAGCGGTTTTCATGTATTATTGGGCCAAATGGCAGCGGAAAGTCCAATGTCATTGATTCGATGCTTTTTGTATTTGGGTATCGAGCACAGAAAATCAGATCTAAAAAACTCTCTGTGCTGATCCATAATTCTGATGAACATGCAGACATCCAGAGTTGTTCTGTGGAAGTCCACTTCCAAAAGATCATTGACAAGGTATGTATGCTTCTACTCACAACAGGGGAGCCTTTTTTTTTTTTCCTTTAAGGATTTTAAAGCTTTTAATATTTCATCATTTTAGTTTAAGCTGAGAAAAACTTAATAGTGTGATTGGTTTACCTTCAGGATGTAAAACATCAATTCAAGGTTAATTAGCTCTAAAAATTCTCTTTTGAGTAATGCAGTTCCAGAAAATTTTTCTTAAATCTCTACTAATATTTTTAAGAAGGCTAATATCTGATACATGTCCATTTTAAAACTAGAGATATGTAACAGTAATTTTAAGAAGAGGTGGGGTTAGAGTTGTCATCTCACTTACCTCAAGAAAATAAAACTGATTTCTGAAATTAATAGGACCCCTAAAAAAATTCATAAGTCTGCTTGGACATGTTATATATCCTAAAATTTTTAATATGACAATATATATTAAGAAATCTATTTAAGCAAAACTTTGTAAACTAGTTAGAAACTACTTTCGTTTATCTAAATTTAGGAAAATATACGATGAATCTGAAACTTTCTTATTTACACTTCATACATGGTAAACATGCCTGCAATTTTAAATCAGATTTTTCATTAAAAATTCTGGACCTCATCCTACCACTATTTTTTTTTTTTTTTTTTTTTTTTTTTAACCTGATCTTTTGTGTGTACAAAATAGTGTTGGCAAATTTAAAAAAAAATAATTTTTTTTTTTGCCAAATCCTGTAGCAATAAACTTCTGGGCATTTTTGTTGATTTATTGCAATTACAGTGGAAGGAATTTTTCTCTTTATTTAAATTTAATTTTTTGTGCACACATTCTAGCTGAATATTAACTGCAGTTTGGGGTCAGTCAACATAGTGGGGAATGTATATTGAAATTTCAAATTGTGTTATTAAAAGGGCAATTTATACAGTCTTGGAACTTTTAAAAGACAGATTTTTTTTTATTATTATTTGACTTGCTATACAGACACTTTTTGCTTGTATTTATAATACCAGATTCAATAATTATTAATTTTATTTTTACTTGACTTGGTAGTAACATCCAGGAGCTAATTTAAAAAATCCTGCATGTACCAGATACCAGTTTGATTGTGCTTTTGTGGGTTAATCTGGGAAAGTGGGAGGTCAGTTTAAGTCTTTACAAGGAGCATGCATTAGTTTAAACTTTTAAAAGTATAGTATCAGCTTTATTTTAGTTGCTGCTTTGTAGGTACCTCTAAGCTCTCTTTTGAAGCTGATGATGTCGTATTTGTGAGTCTTTAATGTTTTGCTGTTTTATCTTCTACAGTTTCTCTTTAGAACTAGTCAGCTAAAAGTAACTCCTTTCCCTAGAACTATGAAAGAGTTTAAAATGCAAACAGCAGTTAAGTCATTCAGGACTTCCTAAACTTAAATATAAAGGGGTGCAATAGCACAGCCACTTTAAATTTGAAGTAGGCCTTTTCCTTTGTGATTTGAACCAGTGGTAAAGAGAATAAACTGAGTAGTTCCAAAGCAATAGTCTGTATTAGAGGTGGGAAAGGCATAACATGAAGGCCATTCAGTTTAAATTATTTAGGCTCTTTTTTGTCCAGTTCTCAAGGTGGCTTTTTTTTTTTTTGCAATACACTGCTTTAAGAAAATTCATCCTTCTGCTAGAGCCCAGAGTGCAGCTGACTTAAAACTTGAACAAGATAAAACTCTGTGCTTAATTGTGAAATAAGATGTAAGCCTGTAATATAGTAATTGTTCTTCTGGCTTTGTTTTTCCTCAAAACAGGAAGGAGATGATTACGAAGTCATTCCTAACAGCAATTTTTGTGTATCTAGAACTGCCTATAGAGATAATTCCTCTGTCTATCACATCAATGGAAAGAAAAAGACATTCAGAGATGTTGGTATTCTTCTTCGAAGCCATGGAATTGACCTGGACCATAATAGGTTCTTAATTTTACAGGTTGGTGTATGGAGAAAAAAAAAAAATTAAAAAAAAAAAAAAAAAATTTAAGTAAAGCTATATTTACAAGTTATAGTTACAAAAGATACTGTCATTGTTTTACGTCCTGTGTTTGAGGCCTTAAAGTACTTTAGCAGCACATCATGATTTGCACACTCTAACAAAGATGCGAATCATTATTTGCTGCTTCAGAAATTTAAGGAAGAGAAGCAGTTGAAGATACTAATATACATTTTTCTAGTAACAAATTTGTTCCTGACATGTGGATGAATAGAAGAGTTCTCATACTTGTTCCGCCCTAGCAGCACGTAAATATTGGTGTAGTAAAATAAACCTTAAACCCCAATATTATTGTGCTGCTTAAGCGTAGCAGAGATTCAGCAACTTGTTTATACTTTAGATAAAAGTGCATCAATATTAACTTAGATCTTAATGATTCCACTATTAACTTATTTATGCTTTTGTATATAGCCATGGTTTTACTGGACAAGTGTGTATGGAAAAATTACTCTGCATAAAAAACGAGTGCAAGAAAAAAAACACATGGAGTGTACTTTGTTTATCCCTGTAACAACTGTAGAGGACTCAAAGAATAGCAGGTTTATAGCCAATTCAAGCTCTGCTTTTAAATGCTATGGCTTACAACCCATACTGTAAAAATAATCATAGAATTTATCAATATAATATCACTTATATTCACATTTAACCTTAAAATTATAAGGATTGCTGGCATCTGTTTGCTATTTAAAAGACAGGCTGAAGACAACCACACTATTTTTTTTTTTTAATTTTTAAACAGTAATGGAGAACTTTGTGCCAAGCAGTCACTGAAAATGTAAATTGAATTAGGTACTTGATGGAAGTATTTAAATATTAATTCAGTTGAGCAACTATATCTGCAATTACCTGTAATTATTTTTCTACCATTACTAACAGGTCACAAATCTACTCTGAAGGATCATGGCCTAGAAAATTAGTGAACAGTGGGAGTCTACTGAGGTCTGAAATTTTTCAATAGAATTTATTTTAGGCCTGTTTCTGTCAAAGGAGCTTCCAGTTCCCCTCTAAAGGGAAAAAAAAATTTGAAGAAAAAAATTCTAGCTAGGTTGTTGTGCTTGCTTCACTTCCTCAAGCCTTTTCGAGCAGTCCTTTTTTACAGTTACACCCACAAAAAGAGGATATATCTGTTTTGTAGTCTCTATGCCAAGTAATTATTCCCTCCAACACTTCCTGCATTTTCTGTTTCAAGATGGAGTGACAGGTACCTCCAACAAAACGACTGTAGTAAAAATTCTTTTTTTATATACAGTTGTTCTGAAGTATCATTTTAGCAAAATTTCTAAAAGGGAGAGAATGCAGACGCAAAGATTAAGCAAGGCAGAAATTATGGGGCAGAGAGACATAAAGCTTAGGGTTAGAAGAAAGCCCTTTTACCTCTGGGAGGGGAAGAGAACATTTGGGAGGGAGTGTTGGTAAGATTTTTTTTTTTCCCCCCCCCCAGATGTGATTTGTTTTTCCCATTGTTTCCCAGGAAGTTATTAATGAGGAGAACATACCTTTTCCTAAAAGCTTGAGTTCCCTGCTTTCTACTTGTTCAATGGGAAAGAAGGTGGAGGTATAACCAATATTAAAGCATAAATCCATGGTTTCCACCATAAATTTTTTCTTTTGTTCCACTAGACCCTTTGTGGGTAATGTATTATAATGAACAGCAGAGGAAACTGCAGAGTTTTTTTTTGTTTCTTTAATCTTTCTGACTGAGGTAAGGTCCTTTCTCTTTGCACATAAAGTTTTGTGCCTTTCTAAAGCGAAATCTACTGATTCGGTGACTCAAAGTTGAGTACTTTCCAGTTGAGAAATGTAGCAAGATTTATCACCCAGCGACAGCAAAGCTTCAAACCCAGATACTACCAATTGCACTTGGAAGTAAATGAGACCCTGTCAGAAGGCTATGGCTCTGAACTGCCATCACAAGCATTGCCCTCTCTTCCCTAATATTTCTCTAATTAAGTTAAAGTTGAACAGATAGGTAACAAGTTTATTTAGATTTTTTTTGTTACAGCTAAACTAAAATAGGTTATCCTGAGTTTAACCTGATGGGAATTAATTTCTCATTTAAAATAAGCTATAAATCTCTGATTTTTTGACTATGTCAATAGGGTGTGATTAAAATATTTCACTTGTACTAAAAGACTTTGGAGGAAAAAATGTTAGTTAAGGATTATCAAATGCTAATTTTGCTTTGTGACAATATTTACTAGTAAGTGCTAAAGAAGAAGTTGTAAGAGAACATGTCCTACATGCAGCAACAGCTTTTAGGTACTTGATTATATCTTGCTAGCATATTTAGCATTACTCAATGCTTGCTTTTTAGGAAACTTTTGGTGTTTTTTTGTATTTCCCTACTTCACCCGCTAGTTTGCATTATCTTCCAGACATAGCAGATTCTAGTGCCTTAGACATAGCAGATTCTAGTGCCTTTCAGGATAAAATTCAAAAGCTTAGGCCAGACTGAATTTTGTAAAAGTTGGGTAGGGCATGATATAGACACTTCTGCTGATGCCATGCTAGAAATACTACTATCAAACTACTGATAACTTCTGTTTGTAACAACACAAGATACCTCTGGGAAACCAGAATATGTAAGACTGAGTAGTTCTAGAAGTGTTACAAATTCTGTGCCTGAACTAGCTAATTGAAAAAATTCTTGTTTAAAGACTTCTGGTTACTGTGGGATATTGCCAACATTTAACAGGAGGAGTTTGTCACTTCTGTGATCCTTAAGTTTTAACACTACAAATTTTGTGTGTTTAATAAATTGCTATATGCTTTTAGTACTTCAGGAATAGACAACTGCTCAGTGCATTTTTAATGAGCTTGCCACAGCCTGAAACTGCAACAGGAAAAAACGCATCTTGTCACTTAAAAAAAGCATGCTAAGCACTGTGGTAAAATTTAGGATCTTGCTGCAATTTTTCTTTTCCACATCTAATGTGCCAGCTTCAGTAAGTTGTAACTCTGTAAAGCACAACAAATAAAATGACTTTATGTTCTCCAAGGACATACGTGAAGCGCCAGCGCCTGTGCACAGAAAACCCACGTGGGTTCTGTGCTCCACCCGGGCTGGGCACAGGGAGGTAAGGATGTTGGTTCCTTGCAGTGATTCCCCCCAAACAGGTTAACCTCGAGGCCAGAAAAAAAACTTGGACTTAGTCCTGGCTGGTTTGCCTGTAAGGAATTATTAAATAAATGGGGAGCACTTGAAGGAACGCCGCTCTGGGATGTGGTGGGGTGGGCACATCTGGGGAGCAAAGCGAGCCACCTATTGTGGCTGCTGTTGGCTTTTGCAGGCCTTCAAGGTAAGAGACCTGTAGTTTGAAAGGGGAAGTGGAGTTCTGGAGCAGAGTCCCATTCAGTGACTTTGCAAATGAATATTGTAGAAACAGTAATAAATGGCATAGGCTTTGAATTAATTTTGTACTAAAGCACAGTTATCATGGGAGCAGAATTCTATCAGATGATTTCAACTTACTGCAGAAGCTACTTTCAATCAAACTGAAACTGTTTTAAGTACAATTTGTGCTAATTACTGTAGTATTTAAATGTATTTGATAGTCATAATTAAAATATTCTCATGTAATCTTGAGCAAGTATAAACAACTTCAGTGATTTGATATGTAACTGATTGAAATGGCTTTTTGTAATGCACTATGGTAAAATTAGGTTGCCAGAAAGGAAGTTCGGTTCAGTTTTTCACCTGCTGCTTTGTGGAAATAATGTAAGAGTTGCTCTTTCAGTGTGTTGGAGAGGAAATGAGGGAGAGCAGATTTTCTTCTTGCTTTGAGATAAGCCAGAAGTTCCCAATTGTTGAGGTCTGGGTTCCTGATGAGGCATATCAACATCCACTGAGTGGAGCACAAGCTGAAAGTCTCTACTGGGATTATAAATGGAGATCTCTGCTGCCAGCATTGGTGGTGAAGAGAAGTTTGTTCTAAAAGGTCAAGGACAGCTGAGCAGAAATGGTAGGAAGAATTAAAGCAAGTGTGATAATAGAATTAAATAAAACCAGATTCTTTGAATAAAACAGTGTGGAAAAATAGAAGCCTCCCACTGATTCATTGAGTACAGAATGAATTTCAGGGACTGTTGAAAACATTTATGCTACAGAGCAGTGGGAGATACGTCCGTGTGTTCATGTGCAGTTTCAGAATGAGTTCTCCAATACCAGAAAACATAAGCTGTCAATGCACATGATTTTTATTTGCCTTGTAACCAGAAAAATAGTTTATATGGAAAGTGGAGAAAAGCACTTTTCTAGGGGCAGCATGTATTTGAGACTGATCAATTAAATAATCCCATTAGAACATGCCAGTAATCTTAGATCTAACATTTTAGTTTGAGCTTGACAATAACGGACTTAGATTCCAAAGTGACTCTAGATTTGCACTTAATTTGTATTCTTGTATTAAATACAAGAATGTCCTTAAGAAAGCTTCTAAAATTAGACAGATGTGCAAACAGCTTGACAAAGGCTACTTTTAAATTATTTCCAGAATGCAGAGTGGTAGTTTTGTGCAAACAACTGTGTTGTATAACAGGCTCATTCTAAGTTTTTCCTCACTTTGGACAGTAGTGGTCTTGTGCATTTGTCTATGTGCATTTCTTACTTGACTTTATGCATTTCCCACCTGGCTTATAATGCTTTCCTTGGAAGGTGGAACATGAAGTTGAGTATTTGATACTTTCTCCTCTCCTGTATATTTGCCATCTGGTAGAACTGAAAGGTAGAAATGAGATAGCACTGTGTGAGCATTGAGTAATAGCAGCAATAACATGGGGAGAAAACCAAAACAAAGTCCCAAACAAAACCCTGTTGTGGTTTACTACAAGAGCTGCATTACAGTTGTGTTTCCAGGAGAAGAATAAAGTTACAGGAATATTGGTTATTTGCGTGCATAGCTTCCAATACTCTGTATGTGGGATTAGAATTCATAGTCCAG